CATGTACAAAATTTAAAAAATTATGCAAACTCATTTAGTTGATAACCAACATTAATATTTAACTTATATATTAATGGTATGTACTAATATTAATTTACATTCCTTTTAACTCGTATTTTTTATCTAAAATATTTTGATTTATTTACATTATATTTGATGTATTAAATCATTTATACTATTAATTTTATATTTAGATACATATTACTTCAACTATTGTATTTTTAACTATTAATATTGATTTAAAACAACTACACCCAAGAATCCAAATCTGAATCTTATATTTTGGGGAGTGTGTATGACCATCACATCTATCCTCACGTCCATCCATCTGCTACTTAGAATCTTGGCCGCAATATAATTAACTTTCAGCAACAATCACTTTGTTGTTGAAAGCCTCATTCTTTTAGCATCACACTCCATGTTGGTGTTGTAACTTTTCAGCAACATAGTACATGTTGCTAAAAGGCTCATCCTTTTAGCATCACACTCCATGTTGGTGATGTAAGCTTTTAGGTCATCCCGTCTTCCCACACACTCTTTGCTTTCTGCACCATTCTTCCCCCTAAAACATTGCTGCCATATTTCCTCCCATCTCTACTTCATCTTCCTACCAGAATTTGCCACAATCCGAGAAGGCAATTAAGATTTTTAAGGATTATTTACAGTACAAGCTTTCATATTTTCGTTCATTAAGGTAAGTTTATCATCTTCCTATTGTTTCCTTATATTTTTTCTACCCTCTTTAATTTTATAGTTTAAATCCATTATCTTTTGTATTCATAACCCATTTCTGTTTAGTATTTGATAATTTATAATCTATATACTGTGAAATAAACTTCTGCAATTTGCATGTACCATTTCCCAATTGCCCTTCATTTTTATTTCAAGTGCAAGTTTTATTTCTCATTAGTTTTCACCATGATCTTCATTATATTTGAATGTTTTCTTGTATATTATAGTTTTTGTTTTTATCACGGACGAATGAAAATTACATTATTTTTTTACTTATTATTGTTTATTACATTATACATAACTTACAGAAAAAAAATAGTAGTTAATACAAATATTATTATATTGTAAATACACATTTGTTATACAAAAATTAAATATTAATTTGAAATTTTCGATTCCCCTTAGATGGCATTTTCAGTAAGTTTTTCATTAGAAATAAAGTAATGATTAAACTCCAAATTTTGCTCCACAAATTTAAAGGGTGTGTACACTCTTCATATCATAATTGGTTTATTAAATTATAATCCCTAAACTATGAAAAAGTATACCTTTATTAGTCATTCTGTTACTTACCCGTTAACTTTATTACAATTTGTATAATTTTAAATCCTTAAAATTTTAGTATAAGTACATTTCAATCCCTCAACTTTTAATATATGCACAATTTTGCCCCAAACTTAAAGCTAATTTACTATAGATATATATATTTATTTTTTATGCAACCTATGATTTAATCCACAAGGTGATTGACCTTTTTTTGGTCACCGGATTTGGTTCAACCGGTTTGACTGATCGGGTCAACCAGTCAATCTAATAAATAGTATTTAATTCATTTGCGCAATTATAAATTATTTTTACATTAATTGATTTAATTTTTAAAATTGATATAAATCATTTTTATTTATTGATCAAACAAATTATTAATTTTTAGAACTTTATTTTAAAATTTATTAATTTAAATTTCATTTTCTTCATTAAATTTATTTAAATATATAATATATATTTCCTTTAATAAGCAAGTAAA